GAAAAAAAGTTTTTATGTTCAGTTCGGCGTATCTTAACCGAATTGAAATCGGAATATTTTTTTCCGGTTCAGCTCGGATTCGGCTTCAACTACAAAAATATATAAAAAAAAAAGAAGCAATACTAAAATTTACAAACTTCAAACTGAGTTGGAAATGTTTGCATGTATATTAGATCCTTGGCTTTGTTATCAAAATTGAAGCCCCAAGTGCACACAAGACGGATACTAACATGTTTACAAACTCAAGTGTAAAAAGAACCGAATACAATATTGAGATTATCGTTTGAAAGATAAACTACAAAACCATTCAATCTGATTCACAAAGTTTATATTGTAAATTTTTTTGTCTCATGTTAAGCATATACGAGGAATCTCACAAAAATAATTATATATCATCTTTTGCCCTTGTACATAGATTAGAAGCCAAGATTGAAGTTGCCCACAAAATTATATTATGAAAGCCAAAGGAGAAACAGAGGGAAATGCGATTAAATTTTGGGTCCAATGGAAATGGAGAACTTAACAACTTGTGATTTGGGATAATTGCAACTTACAAGGCTACTGTTTTGCTTAACTTGATATTAGGGTTGTTATAATTGGCCAGAAGCCAATGGGCTGTCCCAGTCCTGCATCGATGACCCGCCAGCTGACCCGATTTTCTGGTCCGATCTACTCAAGCCCGTTACATCTGGTTACGCAAAACCTACCATCATTTGCTATGTAGTGTCTAGGTTAACCATGGACGAGCCCGTTGTCCATATACCAAAAACCAGAGTGGAGTTTGAATTACTTAAATTAGAGCCATAACAAGCCTGGTTCAAACTGCGCGGTTGGGCTTAAAACCAGCAGGACTCCATGAGTCAGGCCGGACAACCATACCAAACCTATCTGATAGGGTTTCAAAAAAGAGAATCGCTACGTGAAGACAAAGAGTTCTTGTTTCATAGCCAGGATTCAAGAAGGCACAAGAGTCGAGACTCAAACAATAGACGGATCGATTCATGAATCAATGGACGATACACACGACAGTATACATTCCTTTTCTCACACGTTTTATAATGTTATTCCACATCTCAGATTTTTTTCAGTACATGCAACAGAACAACTCAACTTCACATGCAAATATCACTAAGAAGAAAATAGAAAGGCATTCTTATCATGCAGGGAGTGCGAAACTCGGTTGCTTCCACTGTGGCGGATCCATCACAAGGCAGGGATCTGATTTCTCAAAGTCAGCAACCTATAATCAAATCAATCATATGAATGGTTAATACAGGGAAAATAACAAGAATTGCAGGA